TTTAAACAAGTCCCTGCCAGCATCGGTAAGAAGTATGGAACAAAAAACATACGTACCAACGTATCACAATGAGCACGTGAAAATATAGAATAAATAGGTAATGGAATAGATTAACGAGAAGTAAAATTCACTTTATTTACATTCAATATACTTTATCCCTTACTATGGCTGCTCATACCATGTTTCACCATCGATTAACCCTAATACGACTAACATTCAACTAGGCTAGTTCTAAATTAAAAACCAGTGTACATGTCAAACCTATGCGGAACTGAAAATTAATCAATACTACGGTAAAAACAAGCATCATTGTTTAAATTTCTATTCTTCCGAAAACCTTGTATTATTTTCATTGTATGTTTTCTTGTATTTTTTCTTTGTTTTTATTTACCTTCGTTTCATCGATTTTAAGGCTGAGCAGACATTTGGTCAGACAGATCAGTATATTCGTGGTGTTATTGATTATCTGACAATGTTATGATGTCAATATGTTTTGGAAATATATATTTTATTATGAGTTAGATGTGTGCGATGATTGTTTGTATTTATTATGATTCTGTCCTTTATTTTCCTTTTTCTCATTCAGAAATGTGACATTATACACTTGGAGAGATCACAAGTTATATGTTGGATGTCAGGGATGATTCAGAATCTGATACATCAAAAATTTTAATGGTTTTTATAACAAATAATCGATATTTTATCCAGTGAATTCGACCATTCCATATTTTTGGTATATGTCACATGTGTAGTATACTCTGGAACAAATTTCATTGACTGTACCAATCAAAAATCCATTGTAATATCTTTGTGATGGAGACAATGCCGTTACGATATAAGTGATGCAATAAAATAGCTAAATCTGTTATATTTTTCATCTCCATCTTGACTTTAAAATCTGTCAAAATTTAACGTAAGTTATATGATAAAATTTTGTAAATCTCGTTTTACCATTTTGCTCACCTTTATTCGAATAAAAAATATTTCTATACCACCGGGTTGAAGGATCGGGAACAAATTGTTTTTGTGCTGCCTGTTTGTCTGTTGTCAATTTTATATTTTGCCATGTGTGTTCCTTATGACAAGACCTTACCGGTGCATGCAATTACCACAGGTCCTATCCTGTACAGTTTTCATGTCCCACTGTTTTGTTGCAACTGGGAGCATAGAGTTCTATGAACACAACTTGTTATTTCTAACACACGTTTAATGAAAATAAAACTAATGAAAGATCCTATATGGATTATATTAAATTCAGATTTGTGAACATCACTATAATGAACACACAGAATAAAAAGTTGAATCACAAATACCTCTTTGATTTTAGTTACGATCACCAGGCGAAAGCTAATGCCCAAGCGACGCATGGGAGGTAACAAGTCAAGAGAACCCGACAGAAAAATACAAAAGGCAACCCGTCACAGCTGGTGTGAGACTTTTTAAGGTAACTTCGGAATCTATGGTGTGAGTAATCATAATGGCGCCATTGTAATATTTATCTAAAAATGTGATGTCACTAAATCAATGTGTAATTATATATATATAATTTAATAAGTAATATAAGATATTCCTGGAAATAATTCGATATCATTTTATAATGGAAGACATAAAATCTAAAACAACACTGCTACATTAAAATGAAGTCAATTCATCTTAATGTAGTTTCCACCGATAGCCGCGAAATTTGTGTTCGGCAATATGAATATCGATGCTGTATCTTTACCATAACGTTATGTTGAAGATCCGGGTAAGCGGTTTTTATTCTATTATTTCATACATTCAATAATCATTATTTAAATAATTATTTCCGTGCTGCAGGTAATAGAAATAATTATGATAAAACAAATAAGCGGACCACAGTCATGAGATTTAAAAAAAAATTCTGTTTAATCAACAACCACGAAAATTTGGATCCTTACAAAACATGCCCTTTGCAGTACATCGTACTTCAGTAACTCAATACAACTGGATAAAATACGTACATGATATGTAAGCACATTTACGATTTCACATATTGCACAAAGGAAACGCAAATTAACATTGTAAAATCAAATGTTTTCGTGGGGCTAAAATTTTGTGGATTTCCAAAAATATACATTTTGGCTCTTGATTTCAGGGATAAATCTTTCTCACAAGATTTATACTATGATCAACGTCAACTTTCCTCATCATTTCGAGGCAATATGCATGTCTTCGATTTAGAGTACCCACAATTTCAGCTAAAGTAAATCCCCCGGGATATATTATTTTACCAAAGTTGATCGAGAGAGATTTTTGACTTGATGTTAACCGCACCATTGTTTATATATTTGTTTTTGTTTTAAGACGGACTGTTCTACGTCAGCCTCTCATCGCGATCTTTTCCTTAATCGAAACAAACATGGACAGCTTTCCGCCAAGCTGTATGATAAATGTGATGATTTCAATTTCCTACTGTGAATTTTTAATTTTTGGACAGCAACATCCCTGCATCCCTAACCTATGGTGTTGACATGTCGCAGTTGATTCGATATTCGAGGGCCTGTTTACAATATCAGGATTTTTGTGCAAGACATCATTAGTTTACAAACTCATAACACAGGGTTTCAAAAGATGAGATAAAAATTACCAAAATCCAACATGTTTTTGTTTATTTATTAAACTCAAATATATATATATATATATATCACAATATTTTGATTCTGAATTATGGTGTTTTGTTAAGAAAGCCTTTATTATGGATGATTTTGTTATTTTTGAAAGCCTTTAAGGTAGTGTTATATTATATTTTAAAATATGTTCAATAGAAAGGTTCATAAACCTAAACCCATTTAACTTTTGTTAAAATTCCAATTCAAAAACAAGACATTGGTTTTCATATATATATATATATATATATATATATATATATATATCACAATAGGAATAGAAAGGTTCATACAAACAAGAAAATGTTATAAACTAAAATAAGCCTCCTTTATATATATATTACATACATCTCTAAAAGCTGGCAAGTAATTCTTATTCTCCTGAGAGGCATTTTGCAAACTTCAACCGTCGAAAATCTGTCAATACAAAATAAGGATTATGTACAATTGAGCCAAGTAATAAATTGAACTACAATGTATATCAGCTATAAGTCATAAGGTCACCAATTAGCAAACTTCCATTATATTGTAACAAAAATCGAGAATGAAACGTTACCGAAATGAAATAAGATTTCGGATGAATGGATCGAAAATTTACAAATAAAGGATGGACATTTTGTGCCAGGCAATCGGAAATTGTCAGGTCAAGGCGAAGTGTCCAGCCTCAAACACCAAGTGGAAAAAGAGATGTGTTTGACTTTTATGTCAAACGTCCCAAGTAACAGCAACATAGAAAGCAGCTTAACTTATGCATCCGGAACTTGCACATAATTTATGTTTATAATGTAATTTCGTTTTCTTCTTAGGTATATCAAGTGGGCATGGGTTAATACGAGTTTCCTCCATTGAAATATAGTCCTTAGGTATGTAAGTAGTTACTTCCCCTTGGAAAGGAATCAAATGATCATTGATAGACCCCTTTCAACGACTATTTCAAGTCTTTTCTGCCAACTTCCACAAAAGATATCAGGTTCGTTTTTTGTTTTTTGTTTTTGTGTTTTTTTTTTTTACATATTTCATTATTTGGTCGAATGCGGAGTTTGCCTATCATCGCTCATGCTTTTCATTAGTGATAACCATATTTTACATATTTCTTCAAAAATGTTTTCCCCATTTTTAATATGCATAATGCCATGCTGTACTTTTCATGTGTGTCATCATCATGTCTATGTATTAATGTGAAAATGCATTAAATTCACCATACGTTGACCATATTCATTTACATCATTCTTTTGGTTGTTGACCACTAACATCTGTGTTCAAGTAAGGGATAATGATGATGAAACAAGTATTTATATAAGAATACTTATTTTTTATATTTATGAATATACAACAACTGATTAGAGTACACTTGTTACACTTTGATAGTATACAAGGTACAAGGCACCTTCCGAAACTCATGCTATTTGAATTCTAATCAATCTGTGTATATAGTTACCTAACCTTCACAAAGAAACCGATTCATTTATATTGAATACTATATTCAGTTACCGATAATTTGTTGAGTTTGATTAATGTAATAGTTAACATAATTAATATGTCCACAATATACTGTTTATCACTTTAGATTGATGTTGATATCGTTTCTGTATCTATGTTTGATATGTCTGTGGTACACTCAGTTTTAGGACTTATTTATAAAGGAATGGTTGGAGAGATATCATGATGATTGGGAATATTTTTTGATTTTAGCGATTAAAAAGATGTATTTATATTTTGCAAATTAAACGTATGCTAAAACGCAGCTAACAGTTTTTCTCTAACTCTTTAACGTACACCGGGGATGGACATGGCGACACTTTAGATATAGTAATGATTTTTAAATACTTGTCATAAACTACTACAACTAATCACAAACAACATCCACACACATACAAACAACCAGGATCACAACACAAACTTTCAAGTTTGTTGGGAGGGAAATGAAACAGGAATATAACAAACAGTAAATAAAAAATCAGAAATAATAATGTTAAACCAAATAACAAAAATGTGTGAGCAAGGTTTTATCACAGATTCTGGCAAAAGGACTGATTTAATAGAAATTAAATCAATCTATCAAATCGAGGTTGATTTTTTTATCTTTGTAGAATTATCCAATTAAAGTAGGAGACAATACCATGAGATATGATTTCATATGTGTTATTATTAACTTAAATTGATCTCTGGATTGAGAATATCACCTACAATATTGAGAAACACACTTGAAGCGAAGAAGATCATCATTATCGACCTCTACACTTCACATTTCGATGACCCATTTGATCATGTCGTTATAATAAGTTTCTCCAATGTCGATATCTGTCAATTACCTTAACTAAACTGATGGCCCCCATCTTTGAGCTAGCGTCAGAATTCATAACATGTCGGAGATTGGATTATTTTTCAGCATATACAATACACATTACATTGCTGCTGCCTTCACAAATCCTTCTGTCGGTTATACCGGCAGTTGATGATCTTGGTGATCTCTTCTGTCAGAACCTTCCACTGTAACCCATTTTCCTTCTCATTCGCCCTATCGGGATGATAGTTAACCACTGCTTGTTGATACCATTTCTTCTTTTTGGCTAAATCTATCTCTGAGGGGTCCGACGGCATGACGAATGAGTCCTTGTAAAGAGGATTCTTCGGTGGGAAGTTCCTATGATATAAAAATAAGACATCAACTGGGTAAAAGATTTCCCCCCACTGAACGACCAGAAAACGCATTTTCTCTCATTTCATTTGAATTAAAGTATCAATGTTACATAATTCTTCTGAAAATAACATTATCAATCATTGAATGTGACGAAACATGCGCCTCATGTTTACAATATATAGGGAATCAACCACGTCTTTTTCACCCCGTACCTTTTCATTTTCAATCAGTGTCAATCTGTCCTCCAGTACATACAAGTAAACATTTAGCTGTTACGTAAATTATACGCCTATCGTTCATTCTAACGTTAACATATAAGCCAAAAGGGACGAAACAGACGAAAATTTCTCCGTATACATTATAGTTGTCTTATAATCAAAATGTAGGGAGGAGTGAAGACTTAAGCTTCCAGTATGATCAATGAATGATTCTCTTGCGGTCTAATAAATCATATATTAATAAATGTGATTTATTCACCTACCAAAAAGGTTCCATTGTCATATCGGAACCCCTATTGCTTCCAGTTTTATAACCTACTGCACCAACAGGAATGGTTACTATACTTTAAACCATCTATATACATGTATTGATATATTTCATATTGATGTAAATAGACTAACTTGTAAATATAAGCGAGCAGTTCTAAGTCACCCTTTTTGTCAGCTTTTTTGAGGTCTTCCAGTTGTTCAGTCATTTCTTTCTTTATCTCTTCTCTTTGTTTCTTCCATTCTGCATCTTCCTCTGCTACTTTCTCGTCTTGGTATTTTTTCACAATAGCCGAAGCCTCTTTAAACCAGTCTGAAATGATAGAAATCTTAACAAGAATTTTCTTTACATAAACAACGTATATAAAACATTAACGAGGTATTTGTAGACGTTGAAGACATGATAGAGATATCCATCTGTACTCAAAGTCAACATGGAAAGCTAAGAAAATATTGAATTAGATATGTTAATAATTCCCGAAGCCTCTGCGGGCCCAGGAGATCTTTCAAGTAATGAAACATGTACAATGGAGAAATCTTGTCTACTCTTGACGAAAGAAACAACGGAGGTGTTTTTAACTTATGACAAAACAAGGGAATATTATCAATTATGTTCAGATTCAAAGACTTCGATTTGTATTTTTTTCACAAAACATAAACGAGTAGTTTAGATATCAGTGGCAAAATTTTGTGTAATTTGTAAAAGATTGATGTTGATTACCTTACTACAAAAAGTTTAGTTTTCTCGTTTTCATGTGTATTTGTTTATTTGATTAAAATATGAAGAAATGTCAGTTGTTGGTATGTCACAGTTGATTCGATATTCAAGGGCCTGTTACCATCATCACGATTTTCGGGCAAGAACTCGTTAACTGACGGACAAACTCGTAACGTAGGAATTAAAAGAGGTAGGTTGATGGAAATTAAGGGGCAGTTTAACGGTCGTCATAATGATCTCAATGATGAATATTCTGTTTCTTTGTGCGACAATAAACTGGAAGTGTTTGTTGCTCCATAGTTTGCATGTTAGTTCCATTGATGTATACCTTGGATTGACTGAGGTTTATATGGCGGATGTCGTCGATGAAGCAGGAGACGCTTACTCTTCCGGAACACCGGGTCTTGTTTTCCTTGTACTTTTTCAAGAGTTTTTATTTTACATATTGTTTATATTTTGCCCTTGTTTGGATTATGATAGGATGGTAACATTTATTTTTGATTATTTTTTGTGAAACAAGTTATCCCGACTTGTACCAATCGCTGGACAGAAATGAATGTGGAAGGAAACAAGAAAACATACATGTCAGGAAAATGGCGAATACTTTTTCACATTCGTTCGGAAATCGGATTGCGAAAGTCTGTATGATAGGCGAATGAAATAGGTTTTGCAGGTCATATTGGTTTTCTTTGAATATAAAAACAATCATCAACAACTAAATTATTGAGGCAAAATTTTCATTTCATAGAGGGACAATTTGCTATTCTCTGTACTGAGGGTATCTTTAACGACAGAGGTCAGACACTTTGCTTTCACCTATATGTCTTATAAAACGCTTATCTGATTTTTCACATATTTCACACTTAGTTATCATAATAAAAATGTTTTACCTTCCGATGTGAACACACGAGGCTGCATGCTATGTGCTAGTTGAACTGATCGCATCATGTAGTCCTTGGCTTTTTCTTTCATCTTCAGCACCTTTTCATAAAGTCTGCCTAATCTACTTGTCGCAATGGCCTCCTGTTCCTTTTCAGTTCTCTCACGCGTGCGCAGAACTGCAACTTTATACCAATCTACCACGTCCCAAATCATGTCCATGTTTACATCATCTGTCTGTTCTATGGCTTGTTTGAACAAGTTGTCACCTTCGGAGAGGAGTACGTTAGGATGTTATTACATTTTTGCCTATGAAGTATCTCATTTGTTAAAGTGTTATTTCTCATCTGATAAAAATGACAAATCATAAAGTCCGGTACAAAAATACAAAATCATAAACCTGAAAGGGTTATTTACTAGTATCACGACCTTCAATTCCCTGGTAAACTTTCGTTTCCAAGGAAGTCAGCAAACAATGTTACTCAATTTACCTTATCACAGATCAAACCCCAACCCCAACCGAAAGTCTTGAAAGTGGAGCTATACAATTCAAAAGGATTCGTGTTATCAACACCGACATCTAGGTTGCCGCCATATTTACTGCCGCTAAGTAACTGGTCACATGTTAACCTGTCTCTGAACATTTTAGGGTAAATATTTTGTCTGTTCGTGATATGAATAAGTAACATGTTCTATGTCATTATAAAAATGAATTTTAATTTGAATTTATCTTTGAATTTTCATATTTTTACTTTTATTTTCAAAACGAACTATATTTTGTCGCGTACTACGAAGCTATAATGACCGAGTAGTGCCCGCGAAAAGCATATTCCCAATTATGTTAGCAATATGGCTATTACGATTAAGAAAATGTAATAGATAGAAATAGAGTATCTTTAGTAATAACAAATATATTTCACAAGTTCGCAATCGTGAAAGATACCAAACAAATACGAGTGAAATCTATCTATTACTGTAGACACTATTAACTATCCTCTATATTGACGGATGGAAAAGTTTCCATATCACAAGTTTTTGGACATCAGGTGCAGTGATATAAAATACAAATGCTGCTGCATGCTCAGACAATTTATTTTGATCTTGAAATTGCTAATGATATCTACTTGTAACAATGAAAAGTTTTGATTAATTTTATCTTACTGCAATGACTGCGCCTCAGATATATCTTCAGATTTGTACCGATAAAGTATATGAGATTTCGTCTTATTAGAAATAATAAACGATGCATTTGAAATTGTTGAGTATTAAACTTTTGCAATTTGCCTATATTCAACACTTACCGATAGCTATTGCTTGCATTGCATCCGCAGTACATTCGTGCATTATGACGTCGTCCTCTAGAATACCACACTCCTTCCCGACATTCTTTTTATCCAAACAATATTTTCTAGCTTCGTGAATGGGCATGGAACAGTTCCTCATTTCAGACAACCCACGCTGATAATTTTTATTCTCAATTGCTGTCACACCGTTACGGAAATAAAACCTTGCAAGGTTGAGATAAAAATTGCCTCTAACATAATCTATTTCAACAGCCTCAAGAACAAGGTAATATTGATCGATTCTTGCTTCCAAGTCGAAGTGATCATTCATTAAACAACTAAAGTCCTGCCAGCAGTCGTTAATTGATGCACAAAGCTTTGCTGTCCAATCGAGTGTGTAGCACGAAATCCCATTCAAATATGTATATGAAAAATGCTTGAATGCCTCTTTATAATAACGAGTTGTATTTGCAGCTTTCATAGACAGTTCTATTTCAACCTTTGCAAGTCTCCACGAGGCCATTGCTAAGTTTTTGGCAGCTGATATCATTTCTGCCTTCTCTTCTGCTGCCTGGAAGGCTCTGCGATAACATTCTGCAGCCTTATTGAACCTTTGAAATCTGATCGAGTTACAGAGACCCTCTCTGACAGAAGTGTAAACGTTGTTACCTTCCTTTCGTAGCTTCACTGAAAGGCTGTCAGTGTCTCCCATAATGACTATGGACAGAAAAACATATCAGTCGTTACTTCAATGCTGTTATTGAAGTATTTGTTTCGATAATTCAACTTTTCGCATTTTCCAAAAGATGTGCAGAAGGTACGTAACTTTGATTATATTCCATTCTCGACAAATAAGTAAAATGAAAAAAAAATGAAGAAAAAAAAAAAAAAAAAAAATGAAGTGCATTTTAGAGTAAATCATTCAGCAACGAAAATAATTTTTAAGACAGAATGTTTCTTCGGATGACCAATGCTGATGTATTTGTTCGTTATATTTCTCCTTTATCAGAGCTTATATATATATATATATATATATGTGTGTGTGTGTGTGTGTGTGTGTGTGTGTGTGTGTGTGTGTGTGTGTGTGTGTGTGTGTGTGTGTGTGTGTGTGCAATTGTATATGAAAACAAGAAGCCCATAGGGTGTGTATCGCCCTCTAGATTCTAGGTGTCTTGACATTGTAGATATTCTTTATGCAAAAGGGTGTGGATTTCTACTGGTTCGAAGATAAAATCCAACAATTAAGTCCAGAGGGTGTGGGACCGGAACACTGGACTTTTACATCATGATTGTGCTTATCTCTTCATGCCCAGCATTATTACCTAGCAAAAACATGGGGATCTAAGTTGTGTATCAGATATAACTCATTTCCCATATTGAGCACACACATCCACCAACCCCCAACCCCCACCCGGCCCTATGGGGCCAAGACCCACTATTTATACAAAATCGATTTCCCAACCCCAAACCACGCTACAGACCAAGTTTGGGCAAAATCCCAGAAACTGTCTCGAGGGAGAGGCCGGACTCAAGGGCTAAATCTTACATCATGCATCTCTTGATTGCTATATATGGTTAATTGGTGGGGATCTCTACCGTTTCAAAGACCAAGAAATTAAGCCGAGAGGGTGGAGCCATACTCAAGGACCAGTTCTTACATCATAGTTGGGTTTATCTCTCGAGTCCTAGCTATGCAAAATATGGTTTTGAGGTGGGGATTTCAACTGTTACAAAAATATAAACCAGAAATGAAGTCCAGAGGGGCGGAGCCACACCCAAGGACCAGTTCCTACATTATGGATGTGTTGATCTCTTGATGCCCATCATCGCTTTATATGGTTCAATGACATAACCCTGAAACTAAGTCCCCGGGTGTAGGGAACCCACGGCCAATTTTCACACCATACTTGTGTTTATATGGTTATGGAAAAGTGATCTCGAACGTTTCAACGATATAACAATTAAACAAAGTCCGTTTTGGTGGGACCAGACCCAAGAGTCAATTCTCACATCACGAACGATTGTGTTTATATCTGTATGCCCAGCAATGTTATATATGGTTATGGAATGAGAATATGAACTGTTTGTAAGATGTAACGCATTTCCCCTTTTGAGCCCCTTCCCTCTGCCCTAGGGGGCCAAGACCCAGCATTTATACAAAAAAGATTCCCCTTCACCAAAATGTAATTCTGAGCAAATTTGGACAAAAACCAGTCATTGGTACAGGAGGAGTTGGATTTGAAAGAGTTTTCTCTATTTCCCCTGTTGAACCACGCCCCTCCCGTCTCAGGATGGCGAGACCCACTGTTTATACAAAATAGTTTCTCTTTTAATAAAAAATGCTTCCGACCAAACTGAGGCAAAATCCAGCCATTCCTATAAGAGGAGTAGGATTTGAAAGAAATTTTCCCTCTTTTGGCCCCGCCTGTACCGGGACACAACATTGATACAAAATATTTTCTTGTTTACAATATTGTATACAATAGTGAGTGCGTGATAATATGGCTTACTCATATACTCGTAGCTAAACTGATAGGTGTATTGTAAACATGTTAATAGATATAGACCAATAGTTCATACATACCAACGTGTCAAGCAGTAAACGGAAACATATAGAATCTAAAATGAACGCGAAGTAAAATCCATTCAATTTTCAGTCAAAATAATCCGTTTATATGGTTGTTCAACATATACAGCTTGTTATAATCGAGGAAACAAAATATGACTTCAACTTCCGGTTTGGTAGGTTCTAAATTAAGAACCTGTGTATAGGGTCGGGGTATTAGGAAATACCTTAAGTTGATCGATCACAAGTTAAGTTGAATTTGCTCTGGAAAAGGTATTGATTTCTACTGCTTGTCTTTCTGATGTTGTTAATAATATCTATATGCGTATGTTTCGTTATCGTTTTCAGTAACATTACTTACTTCAAGAACAAAATAGCTATCGTCTTGAATCAGACAAATGTCCAGCTAGTTCCAAAGTGAAGGAAGGGAGGTAACAAGTCAAGAAAAGCTGGCAGTAAGCTACAAGAAGCGATCTCTCAGAGTCATTCCGGTAGCTATGATAGGAGCAATCCCGGTAACTCAGTACCGTAGATCCAATATGAAAGAACAAAGAAGAAAGATCAACACACACACACACACGCGCACGAGCACGAGCACGCGCACGCGCACACACCGCACCGACATCTGCATCAGAACATATACCAAGACCTGTAACTGAGGGAGATAATACGACATCAATAGAATTCGTCAGTGAAGAGAAACATACCAATTACAAAGATTTAATAGACAGAGACGACATTTCTAGCATGGATTCTATCACGTCTTTCAAGTTCTTTCCAGCAATGGACTTACGTTGACCTGGTTGACAATTACTAGCTTGTATGTAACATTGGGACAACAAGAAAAAAAATGCATGATTTCCGTTTCACATGGACGAAGGTTCTGGTTTGGTAGGATATGATAGCTTGACATAAAACGTCAAAACAGGCAAAAAGAAACTTGATAGGTGCTTCTAGGATACGGCTTGCACATGAGGACAAACATATGACGTCTTCATATTTTTAAGAAACCAGAAACCAAATGAAAGCATGTTAGTTTATATTGCCGAGTTTCGGTCCGATACAAACAAACAAGACTTAGGTGAATGAACATTATAAATTCAGATTAAAGTACTTCTGGAAGGATTGTTTCTAAATTTAAGACCTTATATAAAAATGCGGTAACCAGGATCCGTCGAAGATATTATGAGAATAAGTAAATTAGAACAGAACAGTCCTCGCAAGTCTCGTTGGTTGGAGATGCCTTTATTTGACATAACAGAGAAAAAAGGCTGACAGCTGTCGCTTTTAACTATCAGGTGTCTAATTTTATGGTTATTGTGACGTGTGTTGCAATGTGAAGTTGATAAAGCCTATCTTGGTTTTTAATTACTGTTTTGTGTAAATTAAGCCCTCGTTATACCCTATGCGTCTACTGCGTCACACGACAAAGAAGCTAGCTAGATTACTACAAACAATGTAGATCTACTACAGAAAGATATCATGTACAGGTGGTTATAGTCGTTATTTATAAATAGACAAATAGTATGAGCTAAAAATAGTTCTACAAAAAACAGCATTTCAAAAGCAAAGGCTGTTTCTTTACCTGTTAATGTACATTGTGTATTGCATAATGTCACAGTGTGTGACGTTATTGGTCCTGAAAACAATTATATTTTCACCATTCGGAATGTCTCTAGGGTTTAGTTATGTCTAGTGTCAAGGGCTATTTGCAATTTATAAAAAAGCCAGTCTAATATATATATATAAACTACGTAAGCAACAAAAAAAATAATGTACCCTTTGGGATCAATAGTAATATGTCTATCGTATATATTTTGTACCAAATATATGATTGCTAAATTTAACAAGTTAACTACGTAATGTTTAAGATTAAGGTCATCATGTTATCACATGCAAGGGTGAACGTTCTCACTCAACAAGGCTGTGCACTGAAGAATCTCGAGGTATCAACGAGTGTGTTTCTGTATAATACTGAAGAATTCTGAAGTTAACATTTTAACAGGTATACTACCTCAATCAGAATATTATCATTTATATTTTACTAAAGAGCAAATCCTCTCAGTTATTGTTTGTACACGTTGTCATCGATATGCACTCCTTAGCAGTTAAAATTATACCCTTCCATAACACGGGTTTTACGAATGGAAATAAAGGGATCAATTATCTTATATATGCATTGAAGTGACATCGGTATTCATTATACGAAGTCGTATCAATAAAGGAAGTAATTATCATGGTTGACTCGTCAAGAGCATGCTGGCTTTTCATTTAAATTAGGTCGAAAAGTCTATATAACTGTGCAACAACAAGGAAGTATATAAAGATTATAAAAATAGGCATACAGTTCTATTAGAACATTTAATGTATATATACGGTATAAGTTTGAAACTACACTACAGCAAATTCTGCGTTACACTTCTTGGCTTCTATATTGAGCTTTGTTTGTTCTAGAGACTATCTCGCAATTTGACCTTGACATACATTGATTAATCACTCTGTATACGGACGACGCGGATCAGATTCATTGATAAACTCAAATCCCATACGTCATGTGTGTATATAGAAACACAAATTTATCTCTTATTTTTTCATTACAATTCCCTCATTTTGACCCGTTTAGAGCCCCCGTTAACTCCGACACGAGTTCTACAGGTGAACACTTCGAGCGATGATTTGGCAGCGATCACTAGAACATAGCAGTGCCCGTCATGTCATTGAAATCAATTTTCGCTAATATTAACAACAAATAACACTGATTTACACATATCTTACTAATATTTTATTACATATTTACGACTATAAATTTTTCTGCCACTGTTTTTCTGTTTTTGTCTCGAAGTGTTTGCAGCAACAGCAGCATATATGATGACCTAATTATGTACTCCTTGAAATAAAGTAATATTTTCCCGTGCAACGTTTACATCATGCACACATGAACGATAAAGCAGTTAAAACACACCATACTTACCGCGAGCGGTGATTTTGTCTGTTCTCCTTTAGGATACATGTCACGTGTTTCTCCTTGTTATACGTATCACATTAATTATATAGTTTGTATTAATAAATAAAGTCTTATGAGAGTTCAAACATTTTAATGGACTTTTGATAAACTTAATATATAATACATTATAAATATATAACAC